TTCAAGGATGTCAACAACAAACGAATGGCCGTCGCAGTCATAACACTAAAACCTTCGTTGCTTTTTGTGTTTTCCGGTATCTGGCTCAGGCAGCAGTAAATGAAATTTATTTAAAAACATTGCAAGTACGAAATGTTTTGCAGTTTTCAGTGGCAAATTGCATATTTTCCTCGTTTATAAAGATTAAATTCGTTGGTCACCGCCCAATTTGAGTAAGCATGTGGGAAACTCATTAAATCGATAAAAAGTTGAACTCCTGCCAATATAGAGCAAAAGGTTCTAAGGAAAACATTTTCAAATTGTTTGCATTGGTTTGGTTTTTTTTAAATGCCTCTGGCTGGGATTCGTATTTATTGCCAGCAGAATGTACACAGAAAAAGTTATCAACTGAAATTGCAGCCAAAAGGCGCCTTCAACAACAGCCAAATACTTATATATTTTGTTTATTTAATGTCTTCAAAGGCTTTACTAAACGATTTTCTTTTTGGTCCTTATTTGTGTTCAAAGAAGATAGAAAATCGCCTACACACAATTTATGAAAAGCCGGCATATTTGCATCTCTTTGTCAAACTGCAATAAGTATCCTTTTCGTTCAAGTTTAGCATTGAATTCCTATTCAAGAATTTCCTTTAAATATAAAGGAGTAAACGGTCTTGATTACTTCTGTAAAACTTTTTGGTAAACTTATTTTTAACTGGAAATAAAATATAATATTAATTTATCACATTAAAATGTCCCATTTACTTGCACTTTTAGCCGGAGACAAAAATTTTGGTAAGATCTTATTAGTGTGGCTTAGGGTTTTATAGTTTTACAGGCTTCACTTTTTCAGCTGCGCCTGAGACACTTTGCAAATGACATCCATTTCGGCTCACATACTAGTATTACTCACAATCTGCCTAGGAAGTCTTTGGGATTTTGCACGGCACATTACCCATATCCTTTTCGGAGGAGGTGTGTGTGTGCCAAATGCCATGACAAGGTCCCTTCTTTCCGCCCTTCAATTTCCCTCTGCATGTCTTATGTGCCAACATTTGTTTTACACTTTGTCTAGCGTTCTTTCTTTTGACTTCCCTTTTCTTTTCTTTTACTATTTCTTTTAAATTGCTCACTTTGGTCTTCCGACAGTTCAGGCATCTCAGTTGCCCATAAGCTGCTTACGATATTTACGATAAAGTTGTTTTCTTGGTTTCTTGGGAACAATTAAGGAACTATTGGTTGGTTTTTTAAAACATGTTTTTTTAATGGTAAAAGATAAATAATGCCTCGGCTATCAAATACCCTTTACTCAGCTAAACTATTGTGAGAGAGATGGAGATATGCAAGCAGCAAAGCAAGTAATAGCATGAAAGTGGCGCCATCTATCGGGAAATGCATTTTTTTCTCATAATTATTTAATGAATAGTCAGATTTAATATTTTTTTTTACTTTTCGATAGCTAATAATAAACATTATAAAATGACAGGATTAAAAAGTATTTTTGTAATTTTTGCCTTTCTTAATACTATAAAATACATATATACATTTCCCTTCCTTCAAGTACTTTACTTTTTGCCTAGCCCACACAAATTACCTTGCAGTCACCAGCTGCATTTTGTGCTTTTAATCATCTCCTTCAAGGAACTCATTTTTGCTGTGTGGCAAGTGTTGCTTGACTAATTGTTTTTCCCAGAATCCGCGATGACAAGCTGGTTGGGAAAAGTTTTGTGTCATAAGTCGGCAAAAGTTGGTAATACTGTCTGGCCAAAACTGTCTGGACAGGACACAAATCCAAACTGATTCTTGAGGCTAAAAAAAATCCTAGTCCCAACTAATCAGGCCAGTTGCATTCTGTTTTCCATTGCCATAACTTAGCATTTTACCATTAACATTCAGGTGTTGTTAACTGTTAACAGGTTTTGGCTTTTAGACCAACTGCAGGCAACACGTGATGAACCGAAGGCTTAATAGGTGTGAGGTGTGTGAGCTGTGTGTGTTTGTGCCTGCGTGTTGGTTAGCCACACATGTACTCAACTTTTTGCGGCTGAGTGCCGTGTGTGTGTTTGCACCTGTGTGCGTGAAGCCAAAAATGTCGAACAACTTGCAACAGCAGCAAAAAGTTTTTAATCCCAGCTACAAGTCACACGTAAAACTGCGCACAAAAAAACGAAAAAAAAACAGGGGAGATATTCGCTTTTAAGCTATGGAAATTCAAATTAGGAACGGGTAATTTGATTGTTTTGTAAATGGAAATGCTTTTTGCGATTTAATCATGGCGTTTCCGTAATCCTAAATTGATTTCAATTTCATATCTATTATACACTGATTCGATTTTGTTTTGGCCAGCCATCTGAGCTTATTCGCTCGTGTGATGTGATGGCTAATTGCAAATGCACTTAGCAGCCGGCCAATCTCACAATATCTGTGAGCCCCTGATTTGCATGACGAGCTCGCATTTGGACTCTCATCCATTTGGATCCACATTGGATTGGCCACCTTGAGACGGGGCCTTCTCTTGCCTCACCAGGAATGGCAATCAAAATTCTCCGTCTGCCTGGTAATCCGTGCAATTTCCCCCTCAAGGTTACACTCCCACTTTGTTTTCATTTCCTGCCTGCTAATAAATAAACGAAATTTGGCGAAAAGCTCTCAAAAATTTGCTGGCCATCCTTCGCTGCAAACAAAAATAAAATGGAAGAAAAGTTCCTTGCTTTGATGTTTTGTTTAGATTTTGTGCTGAGCGTGGGTAATATTTTTCCTCATTGAAGGATAGTAAACATTTCATAAGCAAGGCATGGATTTTGTTTTTCCGGGAGTCGAAAAAAAGAGTTTCGTTTAAGTTTCCAGCGAAATAAATTGCCCGAAATTACCACATTAATCGCTGGCCGTACTTCTTACCGTTGAGAATAACTGCCAACATATGCAAATTTATGACTCGCTTTTTCTTCTGTTCTGCCAACTTTGTTAGTTAAATTTCGTTTTGTTGTGATGAAAGAGACGGTCCTTTGGGGCCAACAGGATTAACAATAAAAATGGCAGCCATAAAAGCGACGTTGCAACTGGGGTCTCAGTTCCATTGGGAGCAGAAATTTGTAGTTAAAAGCCAGTTCCATAGCAGAGAAATTGTATGAAAAATAATTTACGACTCGCCTAATGTTAGATGATTTAGTTTCTTTCAGTTTTGTGCAGCCTCACCAAAGGATCAAAATACCACACATTCTGGTCATTCTGGGGGCTACAAAACATTTTAATTGTTGTTTTCGCGGAATGCACTCGTATATAAGTGTATATATATATCTTGGCAGCAGCTGGGTCTGCGGACATGTGCCAAGTGCCGATTGCCAAGCAGGAAGCAGCCTGAAAAGGCAGCGAGGAGCCTCCGAAAAAGGACACGTTCACTGCATGACAATGAGCGAAGAAGCCAAAAAATTGAAGCCAAAAGTGGTAAAATTGTGGAAAGTTTTTTCATTGAAGGCACGTGTTAAATTTAAAATATTTATTAAAATATTTGCTGCTTTAATAGCCAAATAAATATTAAATAAACAGCACTTAAAAATGTATTTCTATTTGCAAGGTCTTTTAATTGGTTAGCAACAATTTAATAAATTTGTTATATCAATTTTGAATTATTGCTCCAAGTGTTTGTCATTAATTTATAAATGCCACAAAATTATTTACCCTTCTAGAGAAGACTCAAAGATATTAAAAACCAAATGTAATCCAAAGGTGAAATTTTTCATCTTCGTATAGGAAAATATCCCTCTATTGTTCACACAATAGCCGATCATTTATCAAATAGTGCAGTTTTGGCTTGTCAAGCGGGCGGACCAACGCTTGCCGTGCCATATGCATCGAATTATTCATTATATTGCTCTTATAATTTGTATTCTTTCCACTCGCTGTATTTTGATTTGTATAGTCCCATAAATCCATCAATCATTACTTTCACTTTGCACTTTAATTTCCATAAGTTTCGCGTCCAGCTTGCCTCACTTTCACTTTTATTCTTGTTGATTTCCGCTTCCGGTTTCGTCCGCCTTTGGTGTTGTTCACTTGACGGTTTATCACCGGCTTCTGGCGCCTTTTCGTAATGGCCCGAGTCGATTTGGTTGTCGTCCTCTGGTTTCGAAGTCGAACATTCGGATCTGTGTGCAACCGGCATTTTTGGCCAACGAACAGCTGATGTGGCAAGCTGCACGTGGCACGGCGGCCATAAAGCTTTCTCAGGGCTCGGGAGGCGTGGGGGAGTTTGTTTATGTTTAAACCAAGCGAGATGTGTTTTGTAATATTGTGGAATTTTAAAACAGTATTTGTGTAATAGTGAATTTGGTAACATTTTAAATTTTTTGGGCATACTACATTATTTAATTTATAATGTTAAAATTGCTATTTCATTTTTACTCACAATTTTTGAAGTGATTTTTTATTTGTAATTCGGCTAAGTAGTGTATATCACTTAAAATATTGATTGTTTTTCTAACAACTACAAGCATCCGGTAGACTACAAAAAAAAAAACTTTTAAAACAACTAAAATTGTAAAAAAAAAAAAAAAAAAAAAAATTTTTTTTTTTTTTAAATAATAATTTTTTAAAAAAAAAAAAAAAAAAAAAATAAAAAAAAAAAAAAACAAAAAAAAAAAAAAAAAAAAATTTATTTTTTTTTTTTTTTTTTTATTTTTTTTTTTTGTTTTTTTTTACAAAAAAATTTTTTTTGTGTGCAAAAAAATGGTTCTTCAATCACAATTTTTCCCGAAAAATGGTTGAAAATTAACGATTGCTTTTTTAATACCGCTTAACGGGAATGCATTTTCCCATTCTTCTGTACAAAGCACCTATTTTAATTTCCTTATTTCAAAAATATCACGTATACGCCGCAGTGACCACAGCAAAAGCTATGTTAGCCAAGTTCCCTACGTCCGCTGCACTCGCTGAGTGGTGGTTGTCTCGGCTAAACCGTTGGTGAAACTACTCTGTTAACAGAGGTGCCATTTCCCCAGTTAACAGGAAAAACCCCTGTTGTTCTACTCACTTGCATGTTTATTGCCAATTTCTCGGCGCATTTCCTCCGTGCGATTTGTCAAGTTAGGGCTCAAGTGGAAACTGGGCGAATGTCATGTTCTCGTTACGCATTTGTTTGCCCAGGGATTTCATCATGAGGAAGCAGGTGTGCATTCCCGCCACACTTCGCTGGCCATCTCGTTCGTAGTAGAAGATTGAATGCGACCAATTGTGTCTGGAAAAGAAGGTTTGATAAGCTGACGGGGCTTTGGATATGAAACTCATTTCTGGCACTCACCGCTTCATGACGTTTATGGTCAGCTCGGAAATGGTCTCGAAACTGAGCATTCCCGTGCGCAACAGCATGTAGAACTCGTCGTTGCAGTCCGTTTTTTTCTGCTCAAAGTCGTAGGTTGAGCCACCAACAGAGATGAGAGGAGTGCCCTGGCTATTGAAGTACTTGGTGATGCGGCTGACAGCGGCTGGAAATTTAATATTATTAATAATTATAAAAATATTTTATTTTAAGAATTTAAATTTAAATAATTTACAATTTGTAGTTTAAAGAACATGAAAATCCCAAGGATTTAATCCGAAACTTTTGCTTTTCTATAGCATACTTTTAGGTAAAGTTATAAGTGATTTCTATTTGGACCAATTTTCTTAACCACCTTTATTAATTTAGTTTATTGTTGTTTTTAATTAAGCAGTTTCTAAGTTTAGTGGTTTCTAACTAAGTTAGGTCCATTTGCTAAACCAGTTTTATTAATTTAGGTTATTTTTGTTCTTAGAGAAGCATTTTTATTTTAAACATAAAACTATTTTGTATCTTTATAAGCTCTGGGTCTTAACTCACCCAGGGAGTAATCGCAGACGGGTCCGAAGATCACCTGGGCGCACTGCTTGATGATGCCGTCCATGGCCTTAATGACGCCCAGCGAGGCGTCGCACTTGGTGTCGTGGGCCAGCCACTCGAAGTCGATGTGTGGTGGTATCAGAGCCTTCGATCGGATCTGCTGCTCGGCCACCTTGAGGATGGGCAGGACGCGCGGCAGTGAGGCCTGGTACATGTTGTCGTCGGGCAGGAGGACCAAGGCCCGGATCGTGCAGTTCCGGCCACTCGCATCGCAAATGGCCTCGCAATCTCGAGCCGGTTCCTCACGGCAATTGGCCACGGAATCCCTGGGGCCAAGAATAAGGCCAACTAGGATGACCAGCAGGAGGAGCATTGGGATGGGTCTGCTAATTTGGACACTGTTTATGCGGACTCCTCTTCCACTCGGAACGGCTGGCACTTCAATCAAATCGAGTGATTCGCCTTCAGTGCCATTTTGTTTACCAATTTGTCTCTCCGAATTGGTTTCACTAATTTGCATAGTCGCAGCTGTCTATTAGACTCCTCCTCGGGTTGATTGCGGTCGGCTGTGTATTGCAGTGGCTCTGTGTTCGCCGGCGAACTCTGGGGTAATTAAGTTGCTTTGATTGCGCGCATAATTGAGCCAAAGTTTGGCTGCTGCTTCATGTTGCCGCTGCTTCGAAGTGCCTTCAGCTGCTCCGGCTTCTGATTCTGCTCCTGCGGATGGTGCGAATCAAGTGATTGAAGTCATTAGCAGCTCTCTTGCTCTTCGAGAATACATAAATTATTGAAGTTTAAATGGGCTGCCCTCGGGACGATAAGTGCGATGCAGAGAAATGAAATGAGCTGGTGCCTTAAAGGGGAAATCTTGCTAAGGATGTGGAGTGTTTAAAAAGTTGTCCCATTCTCTTGAACATTGTGGAATATTTTTAAAAATAGGTATGGGATTGATGATAGTTCCTACGATAAATGATAACTAATAATAAAGTATAATAAATATCACTTTAAAATATCGATATCTTTCGATTTTTTATCCAAAAATATCATATCATTTCATTAAATATAAAAAAATAGCAAACGGTATAAATCTATATGTTTTATACATATCTATATTTTAATAAACCTATTTATTTTAATTTATTTTATTATCTTCCTGTTACTTAAATTGCATCAATCAATTACTAAACGATTTCAAATCTTAAGATCCCGAGTTGTAAAAATCAATCAGTCAGTCGGTCATAAATTTCTTTATTTTCCCTACCGCTTATCACTTGTCTCAATTAGATAGCACGGAAATAACAAACTTTATCTTTCATTGAACTGCAAGTGTGTTTCTTCTAAGCAAAGTAAACAACTACCCATGAAATGCAGAACCCCCGCCTCCATAGTATATATGGTATACCGAAATTTTTATTTACGATCCCCACCATAACATCACCTTAACAGCATTATTTTTTGTTGAATGGGTAGTGGGTTTTATGATTCGTACGTGCTGACTCAGTGCTTCAGGTGGCCAATAATTTGTTCAATTTCCATCGGAGCCGTATAGCCGATGCAGTTAGATAGTGAGCATGGGACCTGTTGTTTATGGCTGCTTCCAGGGAATTGCTATGGATTGCATGGTTGATAAGGTTGGAGATGGAAGGGGTGCTCAGTGGAATATTCATGGAAATCTCTCTGACCACTTGAACAATTTTAAGTTTTGGCGTCACAACCGATTCGCCTGCAATGTATTAAAACGTCATCAAGGTGGCAAACTAACCGAAAAACAAGCAGCAACAATAAAAAAAAAAAAAACAAAAAAAAACGTGTCAAATGGTAGTCAACATGCTGCCATGTCTAGTTAAACGTTCGGTGATTCCTAATCTAATCGTGACAAGCGGGGAACTTATGAGGGCTGAGTATCGAGTTAGCGAGTCGTTTCAGTTAGTCATGCGGTTTGGAACAAACTGTTTAGGGGATGAACTTTGAACAGAAAGATTGAGGTACTCAAATCCTACATTAATAAATACGGTTTAATGTGTAGATGATGATTAAGATTTAAAGACCTTTTAATAATTTGAAAAAATAAGGTAAATAATAAAGGGAAAAGTATGTAAAGTTCGGTCTAAGGGTAAAATACATATTTTAGCTATTTATGAACATTTCAAAGACCACCAAAGGCAGCTTACTATTTATACCCGTTACTAGAAAAAGGATAAATCGTAAAGATGTAACAGCAGAAGGGCGTTCCGACCCCAAAAGTATATAATGGATCAGGGGCACTAGCCGAGTCGATCTAGCCATGTCCGTCTGTCCGTCTGTCTGTCTGTATGAACGCTGAGATCTCGGAAACTACAAAAGCAGAAGGTGAGATTTTCCACGCATATTCTTTGGCTTCCTACGCAGTGCAAGTTTATTTTAGCCAAGCGCCACGCCCCCTCTAACGCCCACAATCGCCCACTAACGATTTTAAAATGGGTCCTGCGCCCACATCTTTAAAGATTTCCGAGAAGTATAAATGCAATTTTGTTGTGTATATTTATACCTATCGAAATGTAGAAGACATTTTTTAAATCGGACCATTCATTAAAAAGTTATACGCAATCAAAATTTATATATCTATCTCCCTCGCACTCCCTTTAGCTGAGCTACGATTATAGTCGGGACACCAAACCGAGTACAGCGTTCGCTTTAGCTGAGTGACGGGTATTAAATAGTCAGGACACCAACCCGACTATAGCGTTCTCTCTTGTTTTGTTGTATGTTTTTCCTTTTTCCCCTGGGGCCAGACAAGAACATTTTATCTGGCTTGTCGATAAAGCGCTGAACTTGAGATTGCGTATACGCCGATTGTTCGACTTCGATTGTGCGTGGAAAACCCCCGAATGCGAATACGAATGCGAATTCGAATGCTAACCTGATGATGATGATGATGGAACGGGGAAGCCGCCGGGCCAATCGCTTAGCAAACAGCGAGGAACTCCAATCGGAGCTGTCGGCAATTAATAAGAATTCATCACCCGACCGATGACAATCCAGAAAATGGAATGCCAAACTCTGTGGGTCATGTGCCTGCTATCAGCGATCGCTGGATCGTTGGATCGAAGGAGCCATTATATCATTGGCCAACCGAAACGGCAGCCAAAGTGCCAACATCAATCATACTGAAGCACACTATTTGCATTGATAGAAGGCCAGAAATAGAAGTGGGGTAAATATTTTCATCGAATCAAAATAAATTTATTAACAAATTGGCATGGACATCATCGCAGGTCTTATCAGTTTTTTTCAGGCCCGTTCTTTGGCCGAACGTCAGTTTATTTTTAGCTGAAGAACTGAGCACTGACTGATTAAGATCGCCCCGCCCGAAAGTCACCAACCGCCGGGCGGTCGAATCAATCATGTCCGGGACTCCGGAGTCCGGAGCCTTTTTGCCACTCACGGTGCTCTTGGCCGTTTTGCTTTTGGCCCGGCGGAGTGGGGTGAAGTGGAGAGGAGAGGAGTACGACCTGGTCATAAGCCCGTCGGGCGTGCTAAGCCCCGCACTCAGACACACATGGACATAGGCTATACCCATGCAGACCGCACTTTTATTCATGCTTCTCGGTGCCCTGTTTTATCGGGCACTCAACGTGTAAGGCAAACAAGTCTAAATCGATGTGATTTTGGGTTTTGCATGCCTGCTGTAACTGTGAGCCGCAAAACAAACTTGTTGACCAAGCGAATGCCTCGTTGCAAATTTTAAAATGTATATGGTGTTAAAAGGCAAATATTCTACAATTATTCGGTATTTCACAGAAACCCCTATCTAGATGAATAATAATGATATTTAAGGTCACCGTTTTTTTTATAAATAATATTAAAGACAACTTTGTGGTATAAAGCAGAAATCCAACTTTGGCTTTACAAAAACAAATGCGTTATGTAAAAAAAAGGAGAAAAAGTACTACTCTACAATAACAATAACAAGGTCGAAAAATTTTGCAAATATAAGAAAAAGTTTATGGGATAATAATAATGTCAAACAGTTGGCTAGATTGTGCAGGATGCTGTGCCAATGGAAATCGAATTTATTTTTTGTAATCCGAAAAGAAAATAAACTTTTATTGTTGACACAAGAGAAGTGTAAGCTTAAATAAAGTTAAATTAATAAAAGATAAATTTAATTGAATGCGTAAAAACATTATAATATTTGCAAATGTTTTTATGACAACCTCAAGGGACACTGTTTTATTTATTGTTATGCCACTCACGCAATTTCTATTTATAACAAAAGTTACTCAATGCCATAAAAACTTACACATCGATTAGAACACTCTATTAGCTGTCGCACTTCACTCCAAGCTACTTCAAATGTTTTATGTTCAATATCAATCAGTGTATCAGTTTAATTTTTTATGGCCAGCATATAACCTTTGGCAAACAGAACCGGCGATCGAATGGAAATGAACCGCAGTCGCCGACGGAAGACACAGAGTCTACGATTGGGCCTTTTCCGTCTATTTATAGGCGTTTGTTTATTTTTAATGTGCAATCAAGCCGCTTTTCTGCCTTTCTGCCTTCTGCCTGCTCGATAAGATTACGGAAAAGTCCATAATAAACAGATATTCCTACACGATATTGGGCAACGCGTGCGAATCCATATATAGTATGTGGCAGACATCAGTTGCCAACCCCAATTTCAATATCTCCCCGTAGTCTTGCTTTTTAATTCGATTTCGAAAATACGAATCGGTTTTAGATCTCCCCAACATTTGCATGAAACTTAAATGTCCATTTGTCATCGGTTAAATCGAAGGGCTTAAGCCAAGCTAAATTTATATTATTTATGAATTTTAAATGCGGGCCTTAAATTTAAGTAAATTTAGACAAGGTTAAAAAAAGTAAAAATAAAGAAGGGCACCAAGGAATCTTTCACCCTTGCTTTATTGTCTAGACACGGAAGATAAATAGGGTTTAAACCCTGATCCCGTCAATGTTTGAGCTGGGATGCCCTGGGATGTTGAGATGTGTGTTTATCCTTTCGGACACATGGCGAACATGTGGTGGCCTTTACGGCACGCGTGTTAAATTGCCGGCTGCCCACCGCCTGCAGTTTAATGAACCGTAATTAAATCGGTGCTTTAAGAGCTTTAATTAATTTTGAACATATTTAAGAGCTGCGTCCAATGCAGAACGCAACGGGATTTTATTCAAGTATTTTATGAAACAATGCCACTACATTTCTGACTCCCATAAAGTTTGGTATTTAAAGGCAAAGAAAAGGCAAAGTTTTGCTCCGACCCACTTAATTTCCGTCAGGAAGTTTTCTTTTCTCACCACATATCGTCGAAACACTTGGCAAACTAAGCAACCAAAACTTGTCCTTAACTCGGCGGACAAAACAATCTGCGAGTTGTTTAAGCCGTAATCATTTTTGGGCAAGGAAAGTTTGGTGTACATTCTGTTAGCCTAACCCTTTTACAAAAACATGCTCGCATATTTGTTCGGGTGTTGGCTTACCAATTGATTAATGAATATTTACGTTATCTTGCGGCTATAGCATATGCACATACATATGCCAGACGGAGGTGTGACCACTGGTTTTAGGGCTCTGCCCTCGGCAGCATTATGTATACGCAGTGTGGTGTTTGATTTACTAAGTGCTGCCTACTTCACAGCATCGCATCGCACAGCATGAGAATGGGTTGGTGTTCTGGCAACTGGTGCAGAAGAAATATATGCTAAACATGACTTAAAAGTCAAGTTGTTGAGAGGATACGACGTTGGACGTCGTTGGAAGTCACAAAAATATTTTCGCACAGCGAGCAAATTGAATTTGCAGTGAAATGACCCTGACAAAGAAATACTTTTCTTGATTTACGGAAATTTCTTAAAAAGGAAGGTCAGAAAGGCGCAATAAAAGAAGCGATTTGCGGTTGTAACTTTATTTTTTAGGTCTTTGAAATTTTCTTTATAAAAAACTTAGATCTTAGAAAATGGTTCATTTTGAGAATGTGAATAAAAATAAAGATTTTTCCCTTAAAAGTTCCTTAATAAAATGATTTTAAAAGAGTAACTGTAAGGTATTTCTAAGCTTATACCTCTAGGCTATTAATCCAATCAGGAATTCATAGTTTTGCCCGCTATAACCGCAGCGTTCAGTTTTAATACCTTCAGCCTGGGGCAAACAAATTCCATTTTGTGCTGCTGCAGAAATCCCCATTCAGCGAGGCTGAAAAAATCCGCTTCAATGATTTATGCAAATTCAATAATAACAGAATTCGATGCGTGCCACCAAGTCAACAGGGCCTTTTACCCCTTCTTCCTCAGAGCTAAGTTACTTTGTCTTCTCTTTGCAACAACCACAACCCGATGGGAATTTGCATCTATGTAGGTATTTTATTTTAATTTCGCAACTAGGGGGATGGAACTTTACGATATTTACCCAGGGGCAAAATGCTGTTTTGCAATCATTTGCTTTTATCATCACACAAGACGAAAGGGGGTCAGGGAAAAGGGGTGGAGTGGGGTGTGGTGGTGAAAGGAAGCTCTTGAGAAAGGGAATTTGCATGAAATATTGCTGATGGGCGTGTCTAATCCGGAGCAGCAGCCTCTGTCTTCTGTCCTCAAACATGTTGAGTAAGAGCTTATAAAGACTTGTCGATGAATGTCCGGAATGCCTGTGACAACGCTCAGAGGGGAAACTCTGAGTTGCCAGCTCACCTTATGCTTTGTCTGGAATTTTCACAAACGCTTTAGATTTCTTTTCACAAAATTCTTCTTTCACTTGAAAAGTTTAAAAACTATTCAGGGGTTCCGAGGGATCGTGCAATCAATTTTCTCAATTTATTCACACACGTATATTTTATTTTATTTTTACGCTCGACGGGCGGACAATATGCCGACATTAGTTTGTACAGAACAAAAATACACAGTCAGAGGCGTGAAAAGTAATATATTTACTAATAGATGGCAGAAAAATTGCAAAAAAAATATCACCAAATGTATCGCGCGAGGTTTATTTGCCTGTCAAATGTGAATTTCACGCGCGCGTTGCCCGAATTGAACTGAAATTCGCGGTCGCTTTGGTAAACTGCTCACTTTGTTATTTTTTGTTCTTCATTATTGGCCAAACTATGGAAAAGCTCGTCGAAGGCGTCGTTTTGGTGGAACATTTCACCAACGCTGCGAACATTTCACCAATGATAAGATAGCAGTGGCACTTAACAGTGGCGCTGTTAAGTCGGCGAGTTCTGTTATCTTCAAGCGAAGTCAATTGGCTGATGGGTTGAGAATCTCCGCCGAGAAACACGCCCCCAATTAGCGCCTCTACAAGTGTCTTTAAGAGTGGGGGAACAAAAAATATATAGTAATTTTTCCTTTGACCCATTTTAGGGAAGCATACTTCACTTTTGCTTTGTTCTTTGTTTCCTTAATGCGCTTTTTCATATGCAAATGTTCCCACGGCGTATACGCAATGTCACATTGTTTGGCTAAAACAGCAGCAGCAGCAGCTCTTTCTCATTTTCCCAGCAATTTCACCCGCCAATCCCCTTGCGTGCTTTTAAATCCACCGAAATTAATAGCATTTTCAACGCTGCCACAGCTGAACGATGTTTGCAATTGTTTGCCCAACTTTTAGAGTGTGAGCTGTACGAGCTGTGGTGACGGAAAATCATGTGCGGAAATGGTTTTCAAGTGTGCTCAAATGCTTTCTGCGTTGTCCTAGTTGTGGGTGAGTGGACAATTATAATAATTATGATTTTATGCGGATTGGCGAACCGAATCCGTTGAGTTACTCTATTGTCTGGGGACACTAAGCTTATAAAGATACTAAATGCAGATGTGTAAAGCATCCTTAAAATATTTAAAAAGAAAATACTAAAATCTTATAATAATGTGATAAGAAGCTCTCCTTTTTCTTGCGAATAAAAAGCGAACTTCTTCTTGGTAAATCCAAAACGATTCATAATAAAAGGAAATATGATTTCAAACTGGATTTTATTCATAAGCTTTCTTCTTATTTATCCTTTGCTGATTTCATTTATTCGTTTGTTATCAAGTGCTTAAGGCTGACAATGGGTTAAAGCTTTACAGAGTAATGCATGTGCGGGTGTGTTTGTGTGTGTGGGGGTGGGGTGTGCGCGTGTGTGAGTAGCTCTACGCAGACATACATAAGTTTTCACGTGTGTGTGTGTTATTTTGTTTTTTTTTTGCTTTGGACATTCGCATTCATTATTACAAAACGAGAATAGCTAACATTTATCAATTACTTAGAACTACATAAGCTGTGCATGTGTTGCAAGTGCCACCGCCGCCGGCATCAGTTGCATCCTCGGAATTCCCGGGAACCGGTTGCCTCTGCTGCAGGTCCATCCATCCCATCTACTGGGCGTTTCCATCATCGTCGATCGCCTTGAATATGATGCCGTAGACGTGGTCCACCAACTTGGCCCACGTGGCCGCTTGGCTCTCGTCCAGACTGCAGGCGGCGGTCAGGACCTCCAGGATAACGCCTTTCAGTTGCTAAAAATAGAAGGTAACATATTCATAAATATTATTTTAATATGTTTTATAAGAACTACTTAAATAGTTTTGGAGCAAGACTAAATATTTTTATAATATTTATTTAGTATCCAATTTGTGTATTTTGGGTATGCTATTTCAAGGATTTATTTCTGTGTCTGGGGGGTTTCAGAACGAATATTTTGTTGCATACTTTTTGAACACCCAATTTCCTTTCATTTTTTCTCCCTAGTAGGGATATTTATCCTTACAAATTTTAATATTAGATTTCAATGAATTAAATAATTATGATAAAATTAATTCATTTAGTTTTCATCTGTGATTGTTTTTTAATTCGTGGTGCATTATAATTGAGTATTTAATTCTCTAAATTCTAGCTTCATAAGTTTGGTGCCTGACTTACATTGTACGACTCCTTGGAAATGGTCCGCGGAATATGACTAACGGCCACTTTGGTCCAGATCTCGTCCAGCTTCTCCAGATCGCCATCCTGCCCCAGAACCTGGATGGACTCGTCAAAGACTCGGATGATCCGTCCGGCATGCGCTCGGAAGCGAGCGTTTCCCTGAAAAACGAAATAGAGCAAAATTAAATCTCAAAATTTATAGTTTTAAGGTAAATTATTATTAGCTCACACTTAGCTCCTCCAGTGGGACATCACGGAAGGGGAACTTCTCCAAGTTGGACGGATAGCGGTTGAAGAACTGCGTCAGTATCGCCGCTCCAGAATCTGTGGGTGTTGCCACGGGGATTTCCCAGGTCTTCTTGATCAGTTGCACCTCATCGCTGTTCATGTTTATGCTCCGTGTTCGTCAGCTTTCACTCTTTAACTCTCTCTTAGCTCAGCTTTTGGCCTGCCGCTTCTTTAAACTGAAAGTGCGGGGGAAAATGAAATTAAGTCAATTTGGTTCGGCCTCTCTTTTTCGCTCTAATTGAAATTGACAGTTTTACAATGCATCTCAGCGTCGCGACGTTCCCGGCACAAACAAAATCAAAACAACAAACAGTGGCTTATATAAATGTGCGCACAGCACGTGCTAAAAGTCAATGCCTTCGCCGTCGAACAACAAACACAAAAATAACATCATCATCATCATTATTATCATTATATCCGAGCTCAAATTAACGTCTGTCAGTTAAGCCGAAGCAAAAGCACAACACACCTCCCTTCACGAACCGAACCGAAACCCAACCGAAACCCACTTACTCATACATTTTTTAACATTACCCGTGTTATAGGGATGATAACGTGATAATTGCAAGACGATAATAGAAACATTCTTGCAAAATTTCTTGCAACTTTTTAATAGCTTTTAATATCAATATGATGTCTACAATTAAAATAAAAGTCAATTTTAAATCAAACATTTTTAAAAATTATAAAAATAATTTAATTTTGATAATTATCAGATTTTTGATAATTTTATATTAGAGCATGAACAACAATAACATTTAAACTTTATAAATTTTATACGTCTATAATTGAAAAATAAAATTAATATAAAATCAAAATTTTTAAGATTATAATTTCCTATAGATTATAGCTTTTAATAGATTTATTTTTCAAAATACACATAATTCGAAAAACAAATCGGTTTATGTAATCTTTTGCCATCTCTAATCACCACCCAGTCTGCGTGGCCTGCTCTCGAGTTCATTAGCTGACCCCACCCCTGCCCTGCCCTCGACCTGCCCCGAGTTGACCCCCAATCCACAATCCGCCAGGCTTTGTGGCTGGCTTTCGCTTGCAAAAATTATCATACCCCTGTATTAAACGGAGAGCTGCTGACAACGAGTAAGGTAATGCAAACGGGAGATTATGGGAGAATTCTCTGTGCGAAAAGCGGAAATGTAAACAGCAAGAGCGCTCAGAATTGCGATATATGTAAATGCGGACCAAAAAGATTATGTCGAGAAATCAAATCAAATGGAATAGGTACTACAAAAAAATTAAATTTATTTGCGAATTGCTAAATAAATATCTCGGTGACATACAAATCGAGCAGGAGGAAAATGAATTCCCATGCAAAATAAATATTTATGGAGACCACAGGAAAATTCCCGTTTAACAAGCGGAATTTGATGAATAATAAATAAAGTATTTAGCTTCCCTTGCATGACTTTTTTTCTTTCCACTGGATGACAAAGGCATTTTAGCGAGGGGAAAACAAAAACAGCAGTCATGCCAAAGGAAAGTTTCTTCTAAAAAGTAAACACAAAAGTTTATTAAAAATTCACAAACTGACAGACAAACGGAATAGATATGGTTACAGGGCAGAAAAAAAGAGAAGAAATGCAGGAAAATGGACTCAAGTGCAGCCGCAGCAGGTGGCCGCCATGTTATTGTTGCTTTTTGCTGGAAAAGGGAAAAGGGGGAAAAAAGGGGGAGGCAAAGATTGTGCACTATAAAAAATTTGCCATCTCTCAGTAACCTTGTCTAGAAGACCCCTTCGGGGAGCACCAACACACACACATCGTTTGTGCCAGGATGTGCGCTTCTGTGTGTGCGTTTTGTAATATCCTTCATGCCAAAATGGCCTGTGGCTTTTGCGGTTCAAGTCTGGGCCTGTAAGTGTATAAGTGCTGCCCACTGGTGTGCTGGTGTGTGTGTCGCCGTGCGAGTGTGAGTGTGTGAGTGTCTGCTGCAGTCAAGAGTGAAACAAGAAAATGGGGTAACCGACAGGAAAGGGGTAGGGAGATGGAGATGGAAAACGTGATCACGCATAACTTTTTAACGAAGGACCGATTTGAAAATTCTCACATTTCGATAGGTATGATAAACACCATAAAACTGCATTTTACTTTCCGAAATATGAAATTTTAAAATCGTATATAAGGATTTGGGCTTAAAGGGGGGGGGGGCCCTTTTTTGAAACAAACTTGCGCGCGTAGGAACTCCTAGAATCTGCATCAAAGTGTCAATCTTCTAGCTTTTATAGTTTCCGAGATCTCAGCGTTCATACGGACAGACGGACAGACAACAGCGACAAACCCTATATCCTAAAAATATATAATTTATATGAAACCTTCCTTCTGCCTGTTACATACTTTTGCACGAATCTAGTATACCCTTTTACTCTACGAGTAACGGGTATAAAAAGGCAGCAACAAATCAAGCGTTGCCTTGTGGTTCTGCACTGCGAGAAAGTTGGATTATTGTACCAAGAAAATTGTAACTAAAAGAAAATAATGCTCCTAAAAATCTAATATTTTAAGGTTTCATTAATAGAGAATATACTATTTTTCAAAGGGTTTACTATATTTCATGGCATACTTTTAGGCACCACAAGAAGATTTTTTAAAACTCTATACTTTAAAACTCCCACTTTTGATACTTCATTTAAATAATTTCTTTTAATTAAAAACCATTTTTGGAATATGGAAATTTTTTAAAATATTTTCTCTTTCTCACATTAGTAAAAGTTAATCATTTTTTTTAACTTTTCTCTCTGTGTTTTCCGCTATTGTGAGTGCGAGTGAGAGAGTGTTGCCAGTAAGGACATTGAGCGCTTAATTAAATTAAGGCAAACTTGATGGACAG